AGAAGGGATTTGAGTTCCTCCCCAGCAGCTCAGCTGCCACAATTACACATCCCAACCTCCCCCATCCTGCAGGCAGCCCAGCAGCTCCATTTCTTTCCTTGGTGCTTCTTGTAGAGATTTACAGCTCTAATTCCTGCCCAGCAAACCCAAAGCAGTGCCTCCTTCAGGACAGGGGGAAAGTGCCACCTTCCACACTCCCCAATCCCTGTGTTTCTCTTAATTACAGCAACAACAAAACCATCAGTGATTTTTAATCAGTTCCAACCAGATTTTAACCATTTTTTAAAAAATTTCCTGCCTGACTGAAGGGAATTTTCCCAGGTCTGGCAAGGAGAAGGGATTTGAGTTCCTCCCCAGCCAGGGCAGCTGCCACAATTACACATCCCAACCTCCCCCATCCTGCAGGCAGCCCAGCAGCTCCATTTCTTTCCTTGGTGCTTCTTGCAGAGGTTTACAGCCCTAATTCCTGCCCAGCAAACCCAAAGCAGTGCCTCCTTCAGGACAGGGGGAAAGTGCCACCTTCCACACTCCCTGTGTTTCTCTTAATTACAGCAACAACAAAACCATCAGTGATTTTTAATCAGTTCCAAACAGTTTTTTTAAAGTTCCTGCCTGACTGAAGGGAATTTTCCCAGGTCTGGCAAGGAGGGTCCTGCTAACCATTAATATCAAATTCTTAACCCCAGAGCACATTCCTCCCACCCACACCAAGCTGATTAACCTCATTTACCAGCTCAAAATGCCAATCTTACTTTCCCCTCACACTTAAACCTCGGGAGAATATTCCCAGTGAGGAGAGGACGGAGCCAGGCAGGGGGTGACAATGGAGAGGAGGATTAATTGTGCATCTCAACTTCCAGGGAGGTGAGACAATAAGATTGCTCATTCTGTGATCATCCTGTGTTTGCTGCAGCACAGCCGACTTTAAAGGGACCTTGGCAGCTGTGCTGCTGCACATTCCCAAAACCCAGGAGCCAGGGCACTGAGAGGATGCTAATTATGGCTCTGCTGCCTTTATTATTCACCACACTCCATGATTCCCCAGGTCATTTACATTAATAATCAGTATTTCTCTCCTCAGCTACCATCTGTAACCCCAGCAGGCTGTGGGTGCCCCTGTGCTGCTCCCTGGCACACAGAACTGGGGTGCAGCCCAAAAATGCCACAGAGGGAGCCAACAGCTCAGGAGCTGCCTTCNTTCCACTGTCCCAGGGTGTTCCAGCCTGGCCTTGGACACTGCCAGGGATCCAGGGGCAGCCTCTGGGCAGCCTGTGCCAGCCCCACCCTCACAGGAACAATTCCTTCCTCATTTCCAACCTAAATTTCCCCTCTTTCAGTTCATTTGATTTTTGGCTGCAAACGAGGTGGGAAGTTTTTGGTCCAGGAAGAATCAGGGAAGTTATGTCAATCAAAAGTGTTAGGATTTCCCACTTCAGACCAAGCAGTCCATGTGTTTCTGTGCCTTCTGTACCCAAACCCTCACTGAGCTCCATGTCCCTGCCTCCTCCCAGCCCTCCAGCTGCCAGGAGAACACTCCAACAAGTCCCTGAGTGCTGGGGGTGCCAGGGAAGGAGACAGAGCTGAAATTGTTTCATTAAAGTGGCTGAGGTCATCATGGGGCTCTGAGCAGCCTGGTCTATGAAAGGGAGTGAAATAAATGACTTTAAATTAAGGCTGTTGCCAACCCAAATCCTTCTGGGGTCCTACAATTATTTTTATAATTGTATTTTATATTGTATTTTTATATTGTATTGTATTGTATTGTATTGCATTGCATTGTATTGTACTGTATTGTATTGCATTGTATTGTATTGTATTGTATTGTATTGTATTGCATTGTATTGTTTGGGGTTTTTAAAAATTCTGTTTTCAAGCACTGAAACCCTTTACAGCAAACCCCAAATGTGACAATTTTAACTGGAAACATTCTGGGAAAACGCTGATACACCTCCACAGACATGGGCATGGTTTGAGTCTGGCAGGAGAGGGAAAGCCAAGCGTGTGCCCCTCTTTGAACAGGCACCAGCCTCACAGATATGTGTGTGCTCAGCAGAAAGATTTTTAAATGTCGAGTCTGATGAAAGAATAGAGATAGGAGCAAGTTTTGATATAGAAGAAAAGAATTGTGAGCCAGTCTTACTGGATAACCAAGGAGGCAAAGGGTGTGTTGGTTAGAAGGGGTTTTTATGGCTTAGAGAAAAGGATAAACCCACCTCAAAAAAAAGATGTTTTTACCAAGCAGAAAGATAGCACAGGCAAACAAGTCAGCCAATGTGGCAAGTAGAAAAAAGGTCTCAGAATTTTCCACTGCAAGAAAACTAAAAAACAACTTCTAGCTTAAACTGTAATGTACTAACTTTTAGTGATTGGAGAACAGTAACATGAATATTGTAATTACAGTAGTTATGATAGGCTATAGATAACAGTTAAGGTATAGATTGGTTCTACTGTACTAAGATGCTCAGCAAAGTATATAATTGATTGTAACTAAAATTAAGTTTAAATTAAACTTTAAATTAAAATTAAGGTGTCCAGGCCTGCCTGCAGCTGGAGCTGACAGCTGTGGGCACAACTCTGTCACCCACAACCCTGGACTGCTGTAACCTCTTGGATACAACAAACTGCATTTTGGATACAATAAACTGCATTTTGGATACAATAAACTGCATTTTGGACACCCACCTGGAGTCCCGCATCTCTCATTCAGGCTCTTACACAGCAGGACTTGTTGTGCATCTTTTTACCAGCATGGATTCGCTGCCAAGCAGGGGAAAATATTTAGGCTGCAATTTGCATTTGTCACCAAACGTTGCAGCTCGGATTTCCGTGCCCTGGGTGGGTTTGTACTAATTAATGCGCATTGCTATAAAAATAGCAACTTTGCCTTTCTAATATCAGAGGCAAGAAGGTGAAATTAATTAAAGCAGGCAATTATATTGGCAATGAGTGAGCTGCCTGTCCTGTTCCAGGGCAATCATCCCTCCTGCCTCTGCTGCCAGTGGATGGGAGTGGAGCAGACGCTGCAAAAATTGATCTGCTGCTTCTCAAGGGTTGAACTCCTGGCAGGAGGGAGGGATGCTGGCTGCAGGCAGCCCTCCTGCTGAATTCCTGCCTCCTCCCCTGCCTTCTGCAGAGGGAGAGAGGGATTTTTGGAGAACGTCACCTCTGTGTTTTCCCTGACTCTGCCAAAAGGCAGCAGAAGGGATTTGAGTTCCTCNAACACCTACTCCTCCCTGTGAGGGTGCTGAGGCCCTGGCAGAGGTGCCCAGGGGAGCTGTGGCTGCCCCTGGATCCCTGCGCCAGGGGAAGGTGTCCCTGCCATGCCAGGGCTGGAACAGGATGATCTTTAGGCTCCTTCCAGCACAAACCAGCCCATGACTCCATACAAAGTGCTCCTTTAGGAACAGGATTTGGAGCAGGATTTGTTCCTGCGTGGCTCCAGGCAAAGTCCCCGTGCCAGCAGCAGCTGGAGCTGCCCAGGGCTGGGGCTGCTCCCAGGCTGGGACTTTTCCAGCCCTTTTCTCCCAGCAGCTGTGGGGAAGGAGGGAGGGAGGGCAGAGTCCTGGTGATGGGTAAGCAGCAGTTAATGCATCTCCACACAGACCAGACAGGAAGCAGGGGAGGGGGATCTGTCTGATGCATTGGATCCCAGCAGCCATCGCTAATTACACAGCAGCACTCGCTAATTACACAGCAGCACTCGCTAATCACCTGGCTGGGGGTGAAGCCATGTGCAGGGCACGCTCCCACAGAGGGCCCTCTGTACTTACATCACTCATCAGACCCTTGAACACCACCAGCTCTGCCTTCAGCCTCTCGATCTTCTCATTCAGCTCCTCCTGCAGAGCTTCTGCTTCCTGGGCCTCCTGCAGGGGAAACAGCCGGGGGTGAGAGCCCAGCCCTGACCCCCACTCAGCTGAGCAGGCGACTAAAAAGGGGCTTAGGATGGAACTTCATTCTTTAGTGAAATTTAATTGTTACCCTCTGTTGTAAATTCCACTCCCTCCTCCCACTTTGTCACAAACTTAGTCACAAACTTGGTCATTTCCTGCTCCAGCTTCCCAGCATTAGCCCTATCCTTTACAGCAGCACAGCTGCTCTAGCCAGAGGGCAAATTTTTAATTAAAAGACAAACAAAAATGCTGAACAGCATGAGGAGAGCTGCAGAAAGCACTGCACCTTTCCCCCCACACTGCCCACACCTCACCTCTCTCAAGGTTTCCACCATGGATTCCAGGCTCATCCTCCTGGTCAGCTCCTCTTCCCATCTGAAAGACAAGAGGTGCAAAGGGTTAACTACAGAGAAAAGCAGCTTTTCCCCTCAGAATGACAAGTTCTGATGGCTGTGGGAGGAGATGTGACAGTTTCTGGAAATGCAGAGCAGATGGGCTCCCTCAGACAGAGCGGGGAGTCTGTGAGGGAAGCAAAGCTGTCTCCGCTTTTCCTGGGACCAGCATTCCTNAAATTTCTGTGTAAAAACACTGCCTGGGAGTAGCTCTGATTTCTGAGATCCTCCCACTCAGACAGAAATCTGGCTGCTTGTGAAGGGAGAAACATTAAAAAAAACCCAAAGCACATTTTCCATCCTAGCTGAGACCTGCTCTCCTGGACAGCTCCACTCCTCAGCAATGCTTCCACCTGGGACACAAAAGTGCAAAAACCCTTTGCAGATCATTCTTAAACAACAAATCCCCTTTCTAAGAAAAAGCTCTGTGTTTTTTGTTGGTTCGATTTGCTTTTCCCCACCATTTTTAGTTTTAAATTATTACAGACTCTTCTCCAGCCCCTGTGAACCACCTGTACAGTCTGAGGTTTTTTTGGTTTAATTTTTTACACAAGTTTTCTCCAGTCCCTGTGAATCACCTTTAGAGTTTGAGGTTTTTTGGTTTAAATTTTTATACAGAGTCTTCCCCAGCCTCTGTGAATCACCTTTAGAATTTGAGGTTATTTGGATTAATTTTCTACACAAGTTTTCTCTGGCCCCTGTGAAGCACCTTTAGAGTCTGAGATTGTTGTTTTAGATTTTTACACAGACTCTTCTCCAGCCCCTGTGAACCAACTTTACAGTTTGTGATTTTTTTGGTTTAATTTTTTACACAAGTTTTCTCCAGCCCCTGTGAAGCACCTTTAGAGTTTCAGGGTTTTTGGTTTTCATTTCTTACACAGTCTTCTCCAGCCCATGTAAACCACCTTTAAAGTCTGAGATTGTTGTTTTAGATTTTTACACAGAGTCTTCTCCAGCCCCTATGAACCACCTTTAGAGTTTGAGGTTTTTTTAATTTAAATTTTTACACAGACTCTTCTCCAGCCCCTGTGAAGCTCCTTTAGAGTTTGTGGTTTTTTGGATTAATTTTTTACACAGTCTTCTCCAGCCTCTGCAAATCACCTTTGGAGATTTGTGTTTTCCAGACACTCAGAGCAAAATAAATCTCTCAACACTGACACAATCTCACT